AACAACCACATCATATCAGGACGATCTCTTGGTTGACCATACTCTAATAGGGATTGATAAATGAGAATTGTACTGATCTCTCAATGTCCATCAATACGTCATGGTACAATTGCCTTCATGTAAAAACAAATAATTAGATTAAAACTAATAACATTAAATGATAAATAATAAGGATGATGAAATACCTAATCCATATCTTAATAGTCGTAGCACCAACCCATCTACGATGAAGTATATCATTCAGCACATGCCAATCAATATTATTAAATATATCACTTGTGCTGTAGATGTGCCTATCAAACTCACAAAAGGCTTTTTTTCCCCCTTCCTTGAAAGCGTGTAAGCTGCAGGAGGTAAATAAGTACGGTATCCACTCTCAACCGATGCTAACTCTTCTCTTATTCCCAAGGTAACCAAATCCAACCTCGCATTGACACTATCCTTACTTTTTCCTTGCATATTGAGCAATGTGCCAATTAAACTATCACAAATATATTTTTTTCTATACGTATAACATCAAGAAAATGTCTCACATGCAAAAACTTCTAATATAGAAGTTCAAAGAATATTGACTTTTTCTTCCAACCAGTTGTGGCAACATGTTTTGCAATATACTTGCCAAAATTGCTATCCAAGTCTTTCACCTTCTCAAAAACATGCTCACTAGCTAACATCTTTGGTGGACTACCTTCTTCTGAGGCCCCATTGAAAGCTTTTTTCCACTTCCTCCAATGATGTTTTGAAGGAAAGAATCTACGAAGTCCTATATAGACATTTTTCTTACAATGATCTAATCACATTAAATGAGTGTTATTTGCACATGGGCATGCATAATATCCTTTGATACTGTATCCGAATAGATTACCATAAGCGAAAAAATCATTAATTGTGCCAAACAGCATGGCTCTTAAATTAAAACTTTCCTCCCTATACCCATCATACGCATTCACCCCAGTCTCCCACATCAACTTTAGATCATTAATCAAAGGAGCCAAGTATACATCTAAATCATTCCCAGGCTGTCTTAGCCTAGAAATTAACATGGACAGCATCATAAACTTACGTTTTATGATTAAGCGTGGCAGAAGGTTATATATCATTAATATCACAGGCCATGTGCTATGAGTACTACTTTGAACACCGTGAGGATTAATTCCATTAGTTGCCAATGCAAGTCGTAGGTTCCTTTCTTCTTCCCCAAAGTTAGGATACTTGTAATCAATTTTTTTCCATTGTGGAGAATCTGCAAGATGCCTAAGCTTCGTGTCTTCAATCCTCTCATTTGCATGCTATGTCAACTATTTAGCAATTTTTGCATTATTGTACAAGCATCGAAATCTTAGAATAATGGGAAAATACCAAAGGACCTTCAAAGGATTTTTGCCTTTCTTCCCATATCGTAATGTATTACATGTAGGGCACTTCTCCAATGATGCATACTGATTTCGAAATAAAATGCAGCCATTAGGACATGCGTGAATCTTTTCATAACCCATCCCAGTAGAGCAAAGAATTTGCTTAGCCTCATGTTTTGGTAGAAAGTTTATTTTTCTCTAGAAGCATGTCTTGCAAAAGTGTAAGCAATGTAGTAGAACTCAAATCACTCCATCCATGACACTCTTTCAAGTTATACAATTTTAATACTGCTAGCAATCTTGTGCATCTTATGCATCTAGCATACAATGATTTTTCTGCATCACTTTTCAACCTCTCAAATAAATTAGGATAATCATGAAGATCCTCTTCAACTGCATTTAGCATTTCTTCAAGACCATCATCTTCATCACATATGCTTGTGCCAAACTTATTTGAAGCACCACTTATGCTATGAACTTGATCACTACATGTATCATAAGTCTCACCATGCCTTGTCCATCGTGTATAAGATTGATCAATTTCATGACACATTAAACGATCTAACAAATCAGGTGGACTAATTCACTTTCCATAGCAACATGCTAATTATGGACAAACAATTTTTTTAGGATCTTTTGCATGTATCATTGCAAAACTAATAAACTCTTTCAACCTGTTTATATATTCCATTGAACACTGATTAGATGACATCCATTTTCGATCCATGTCTTCAACCTATTATAAATAAATAGTTAAGTACATAATTATTATTATACCTATTAATAATTTTAATTTTTTTTATTTATCTAAAAATAAAATGGGCAGTATAACGGCTTAAAAATGCAAGTTTTCTAGGTTCAACCTGTCTCTTTTAACTATAATCAACCATTTAATCTAGCACAATTCACTGATTTTTCACAACTATAAACAACAATAACAACAACAACAAAAAATCATATTTGCCAACATATATCAAATCTAAAATAAAAAGCATTAAAAGCTAACGGATTAAATATTTAGACCATTCTAACATATGATTCCACCTAAAATAGAAAATAGAAAAATATAACTATCACATATTTTCACATGTAATCACCTGATCAAAATTAATCCTATCTCATTAATTTTCCAACATATTTCAAGTTTTTACCAAGGAACAATTTTACAAAATTTAACTAACTAAAGTAAAAAATATTAAGCAAATTCACATATTTATCACTAACAAACTTAAATTTGTAAGCTTTTAAATAATTTAGCTGGAAAAAAATACTTACAGTGTATTGTAGACTGACTTGAATTATATCAAGAGTAGTCTTGCAAAAAAAAAATGTTAAATGAAAGTGATGAGAGGGAAGAGGGGTATGGTAAGGGCAAAAGGAATAGAAAAGTGGGTACAGAAAAGGGGTGGGGATCGTGGGTGGGTGTTGAGATGGGCAAGGGGTGGGGGTGGAGACAGTGGTGGGGATGAAAGGTGGAGGTGGCAACGGAGAAGGAAAAAGGAAGTGGGGAGCTTAGGGAAACATACAGTGATGGGGACGCATGGGGAAAGGGGTATGGCAAGAAGCTGTGGGGAAAAAGGGAGCAGAAATGGTGGCTTGAAGCTGAAGAACAGAAGATCAAGCTGTAGGTTAGAGTGAGGTGGAGTTGTGGTTTAGAAAAAGACAGGGAGAGTGAGCTAGAGCTATCGGGTATAACGCACACGGGAGTGGAGGGGAGCTGTGGGTTAGAAAAAGAGAGGGAAAATTGGGGGGGGGGGATGGAGCCGAAGGGAAGGTAAAAATGGGAACTGCTGTAGCGTTTTGCCTACAAAACGCTACAACATCTGATCTTCTGTAATGCTGTAATCAAAATGCTACATATAGCAGGTGATTTATATAATTTTTTTTAAAAAAATGTTATCTTTTTTTTTTAAACTTATCAATGGAAAATAAAAAAAATGGAGGGAAATATTTCATTAGCAGAGGATTTTTTTTAACTCTACAAAAAAATTGTTTTAGCTTTCTTCTTTGAATTGTGAAAATGAAAAAAAAAAAAGGAGGGAAATATCATTAGCATGGGATTTTTTATAATTTTTAAAAATAACTTTTTAGCATTTTTTAACCTAAATTAAAAATGAAAAAAATTGAGCTTTCTGTAGCGTTTTATCATAAAACGCTACATAAAGTATGCTTCTGTAGCGTTTTTTTTAAAATAAAAAAACACTACAAAAGGTTTTTCCTTATTTTTTAAGAAAGTGCCTTATATTTTCCCTTGTTTTAAATTTTTTTTAAAAATGCTTTTAACTTTTTTTTAAAAAAAAAAAACCTATCAATGGAAAATGGAAAAAAATGGACGGAAATATGTTATTAGCTTTTTTTAAAATTTAAATTGGAAAAATGAAAAAGGGGGGAATGCCATAAACAAAAATGCTAGATTAGGGGATTTTATTAATTTTTTAAAAAATAATTTTAGTTTTTTAACTTAAATTGTGAAACTGGAAAAAAAAAGAGAGAAAAATATCATTAGCAGGGGATTTTTATAATTTTTAAAAACAATGCATTTAGCTTTTATTTTAACTTAAATAGAGAAATGAGGAAAAACAAGGAACTTCTATAGCGTTTTTTTGTAAAACGCTACAATAGATTTTCCATAATTTTTTAAAAAAATCGAAGGCCTTTTGTAGTGCTTTCCATAGAAAGCACTACAGAAAGTTCTACGAAATTTTTTTTAAAAGAAAAGAATCTTTTGTAGCGCTTTTTTAAAAAAACGTTACAGAACCTTGAGAAAGCACTACAAAAGATTTTTTTTAATGTTTTTTTTACAAGGTAAATGGATTGCTGTAGTGCTTTTTTGAGAGAGTGCTACAGCAAGTATCATACATGATGTAGCATTTATTTAAATAAGTACTACAGAATATATCTTTTTTTAATAAATTATTGACTACTAGCTATAGCGTTTTCGTTTTGAATGCTACAAAACATGCGCTACAAATCAAGTATTTTGTAGCAGTGCAAAGTATTTTGTAGCAGTACAAGAGATTAGGACAGATATTAGTAGAATATCCAATCTTCATTTTGAATTTTGGTGGGAATAGTTATTTGTGAGTGGGAGGACATACATGTCAAGATATACGCATTATGAGAAAAAAAATACAGAGTAACTACTCTTTCTCCTCCATAAAAAAATTTCTCTCCAAAACTCTTCCTTTCTGTTTATTTGCTTTAAATCATAAGTCTGTATCTATACCCATGAACAGATTTTGTATAGCCAAAAACATACCGAATATCACCTTTAGGTATGTCCAAAAACCCAATATTCTTTTTAGTAGTTATCTTTCATATTTTAAGTACACATCTTTAACCTCTTCAATAATTGATTATTGAAAATGTTAAATTTGAGCAATAAAAATATGAAAGATGAGTACTAAAGTAGAGTGATAAAAAAAATTATCTAAGAAGATACTTTAATGGTGAAATGGCATAAAAAATTACTTTCGAATATTGAACGCTACTAAACATTACTTTATGGTACCTTCACTTAATGGACTTTTTAGAGACTTAATGACAAGGTTAAAATTGCCCATTAAAAGATAATTTAAGGACAAAATCAGACCACAAAATGCTTTAAAATAGTATGCACACGTAGGAAAAAAAAATATTTGGATCAACTTTAACCCAAATTTTTTTTTTTTTGTAGGTTAGGCATAACAAAACTTTTTCACAATATTCTCGCAAAAGACTACTCCTTAACAATGAGGAACGCATGCATGACTGAAAATTAAGACAAAGCTTTGGTACTAAATGGAGAAACAAACACAATTCAAAGGCACAAGACAAGAGCACAGAATCAGATAGACACGCACTAGAGCGAGAAGGAAAACAGAGTTCAGCACACTATGCCACTTCATCTTGCAGTTCGGCGACGAGCACATTTTCCTCTCCATATTCGGACTGCTAAAGCCAAGGCTAAAGCGATAAAGAAAATGAAAAGCGTCAAAGTTCGGTATTCCGAGGGTGAAATGATCTGAACACACATACCATATGTGAAGGAAATGGAACTGAGGGCCAAGTTCAACTCCGTTTTGCGAGTGAAGCCACTGGTGAGGTCCTCTATGGTGAGCATAGAAAACAGAAATCCCAATGTGTTCCCAAATATGAACATATTGAATAAATAAATATTTTTGGTGGCGAGGATAGATACCCCAGCAACCTGTTTGCTTCTGGCGGTGGTCGAGGCACCTAGCTCAGGATGCCGCCCGTTGGTTTGGGCGGCGGAGGGAGGTACTCCGGCAACGTGGTCGGTGTCGGGACAGTCTTCCTGCCAGAGACCACCGGGGGGGTTATACACAGCCTGATATGTCGCAGCTACCAAGAGCACAGCGACCGTGAGTAGGACGTTCCGTACATCACTGGGTTTATCTCTCCCTTTCTTGTATCGGAAATCGATCTCTTCCTCTTCCTCGTGCCCTTGTGCTTGATCTGATGCCGTTTCTGCGCTTTCAGAATTTAGATTCTGATTAGCGAGCATGATGTGATGCTGGCCATCTGACTCATTTGAAGCAGGCATGCTCATGATCTCCATTTTGGTTCACCAATCAACTTCTTGTTGAATCAGTAATAATTACTGGAAACTCTCGGACCAAAAAAAATACTAATTATAATTCTAATGTATCCTGCATGGCCTGCCTAATTGCTCAACTAATGTCTAAATGATACTTTATATTCATCAAAAATTGATACAGGGAGGGAGAGAGCTCGGAAGATCCACCATACCTGAGAAGCACTTGAATCTTGCACTGTTGTTTAACCAGTTGTTTTAGCTCTCTCAACTTCCACTTTATAAATTGGTTAATTTACTTAATTATAAATGTGGTTTTCTCACTCAAACTTGTTAAATTCTTTTGTCTTATTTTTGTGACGGTATTGAAGAGAGGGTGGATATCTTGTCTCTTAATATTTTGTTTCTTTCTTATGACGTTGAGTCACTTCCCAATTGCCCTATGTTTGGTACGAAGGAAATGGAGGGAGGAGAAGGAAGGAAAAATATTAATAAGTTTAATTTAAAAAAAAAAAAAGAGGGTTAAAAGCTTTTAATTAATTTTTCTTATTTTTTATTTTGCATATTCTTTTAATTAAAATTTTATAACTCAATCTCTCTGATTTTTTGTGACCTTAATATATCCAAAAATTTGGTCTTGGGTAATACTTAACAGATGTTATATAATCTATGTAACTAATCTCACCTAGTAAGATAAAGCTTTATTATTGTTTTTATTGTTATAGTTGTAACCTCTCTAATTTTTTAAATCAAATTCATTAAAATTTTTTATCCCCTCCCCTCTCCTGCATTCCACTCTTACCAAACATAGGTTTACACGACTTACACAAATACTCTTCCTTCTTTTGTGTGGTTGAGAGCCTCGCAAGGACAAGTTTGAGATCCCAGGCATGCACGATTCACTTCTTTTATGGATAAGCTAAGCTCCAACTTTTGTGGACACCTTTTCTTGGATGTACCAAACATGGTCTCTATTTCCAACGCGGTTTCTTTGGTTTTCGCACTCTTTTCTCCTCCACCATATTTTAGCCTCCTCAACTGATTCCACTTTATTGGTTAATTTACTTTACAAATATGTTCCTTTCCCCCTCCACGTCAACTTTTTTGCTACATATTGCAAATTGGTTAGGGTCTTATTTTTGCGAAGTTTTGCCATGGTGTCTCTTTTCTTAATAAACGTACAACTCACGGAGAAGAAAATTCTATTGTGGAATTCTCTTGCTCTATTTTGTTCTTTTCTTCTGGTGTCGAATCACTTAGACAAATTGCACAAACAAACATCATGGTTGATATACTCTACCTTATTTTTCTCCTTGGTGAATTTAATCATGGTCGGTTTTGGTGGGACTGTGGAACTGGAGCCTTGGAAGCAGCATTGAGGTGGGAACTAAGCTCTGTTTGCTATAAAACATTGAAAATAAGAGATAGGGATTGGAATTATAATTGAGAAAAATCATCATTAAAATAGTATTTGGCATAAGAGATTACTTGTTACATGAAATTAGACAAACTCATAGATGTAAAATTAGGGAATATCCCCTCCCTCTATGATATTTCCTAATCCCACATAAATAGGTTTGGCTAATCCCATGTAACAAATAATTTTTTATACTAAACACTTTTTAAATAAATTTTCTCAATCTCAATCTCAATCTCTACCCCTAATTTTCAATACTTTGTACCAAGTAGCATCTAAGGTCCTGTTTGGTACGACTGAAAATGCTGGGTAAGAACTGGGATTGAGATAAATATATATATATATATATATATTAAAAGAGTATTTAGTGTGAAGGATTGTTTGTTATTTGGGATTGAGCAAACCTATATATATATATATATATATATATATATATATATTTATTTATAGGATTAGAAAATACCACCTTTGTATTCTCCTAGATGGGATTGCCTAATCCCATGTAACAAGAAATTACTTATACTAAATACTCTTTAATGGTTTTTCTCAATCCTAATATCAATTCTTACCCCTCAATCTCAATGCTTCCCCAAAAAAATGGCCAAATTGATATGTAAGAATACAATTCTATGTGGAATCCAGTTCCATAATAGATGATGGAGCCTCCTACGCGTCTGCAGCGAGTTCGACTTCGACTTCGTCACCTCTTCTCTTTATCCTTCACACACGCCTTTATCTTTCTTTCTCTGAATTCATGAATGATGAAAATAAAATTAGCTTCTTGTTTTTTTTTTTTTTTAGTTCTTGATAAATCTGAGTCTGACTGGGATGAATTGAGAATGATTTTCTAATGAATGAAGAGCTTTTTTAATTTGATTGTCACTGAGTTTGATTTTGCTGGTGGAGGATTTTTTAAATGGCTACAAATATATTTCAAATGCATATTTTTAAATCATATAGTATAAATGGTATAAGTTTGAGAGATTTTATAAATCATTTAAATTTATAATTTAAAATTTTTAAACACATCTTTGCCTACAAACACTTATAAACACATTTAATCAAGTATGTATTTATTGATAGAATTAATCTAAATTTAATCAAGCTTTTTATATCTGCATTAACTAAATTACTTAAATTATATCCTAACATCAAAAGAAATATATAAATAATTATTTTCAAAAAGAAAAAAAATTAAATTAAATAAAACAATAAGAAAAATCTTAAATTCTTATGATTTTAGCCAAAATTTGGGATTTAGTATAATGAAGGGCCGATTATTCCTATAATTAAGGCCTATTTGTGATGGCGTTTCGACGGGTAAACTTGCGGTGAAAAGGACAAATCATGTGATGGATGATATTTGATCGTTTGTGCTGGTGATGGGAAAATTGTGTTTTACATCAAAAGTCACAATAAGTCATAAGCAGAAATTTGGGCAATTTTATCAAAATATTATAAACAGTAAAAATAATTACCCAAATATTGAGAACTATTTATCTATATACTACGCCTTTTTAAAGCTCGTTCACGCCCTGATGAACTTTCACTCGTTCAGGCCGTCTCCATTTTCATTTTTCGCAAAAACTACAATTAAATACCCAATTTCATCAACTTTCGTCCCGGCCTTTTGAATTGTGGAGCAAATTACAGTTTATTACCCCATCTCATCATATCCATTACCTATTTTCTTTTACTCTGCATTTTCTTCTAAATAGGATAAATATAAGTAGATTTTATAGAAAAATTACTTTTTATCTCGGTGCTTAAATTTAGGAGAAAATATATAAATAAATCAAATAGACATAAAATGTTTAAAACTTAACAGATTCACATATTTCATGAAATTGCCAAATGAAAATATTAAAAAACTTTGAGTTCTTAAAATCACTTAATATAATTTAATAAACAAACATTGAAAACTATCATAGTGAGAGTGTAATGTTACTAGGACCCACTTTTACAGTGAGAGTGTCATGTTACCTTAAATAATTTAGGAAAAAACGAAAATAAAATAGATAGGAATGGGTCATGTTACTAGGGTCTTCTTTCATAATGAGAGTCTCATATTACCTTAAATAGTTCAAGAAAAAATAAAAATGAAATAGATAAGAATAGGTATTGAAGGAACATAAGAAAATTAATACTTTAGTTTTTTTTTATTAAATTATATTAAGTGATTTTAAGAACTCAAAGTTTTTTAATATTTTCATTTAGCAATTTCATAAAATATGTGAACCTATTAAGTTTTAAATATTTTATGTTTATTTGATTTATTTATATATTTTCTCCTAAATTTAAGCACCAAGATAAAAAGCAATTTTTCTACAAAATCTACTTATATTTATTCTATTTAGAAGAGAATGCAGAGTAAAAGACAAAAAGCAATGGATATGATGAGATGGGGTCTTAACTGTAATTTGCTCCACAATTCAAAAGTCACGGACTAAGGGTTCATTTGGATTAGCGATTGGAAAAGTAGCTTATTGAAAAAGTAGCTTATGGAAAAGTAAAGTTGAGTAAAAGCTAAATTGGATAAGCTGAATTGTATTTGGATTAGAGTTCAGAAAAGCTAGTTTGCAAAAGTGATATTGGTAAAAGGTTGTTTGGATTATGGTTGAGTAAAAGTAAGTTTAATTGTAAAATGACAAAAATGGGTATGAGTTTTAATAAATAATGAAACATGATTAAAAAAAATAATTTCACATAATACAATAAAATTAAAATAATTTAATAAGAAAAAGTCAAATTTATAGAGTGAATTAAATTTTAACACCTTAGAGAAATCATAAAAAATATGTTAAATATAAAGTGAAGCATGAAACAAAAAACTAAATTGAGATAATATAATAAAGAAGTGAAAATCTCTTTTTAAATCATGTGACCTAAGTAGGAGTTTGATAAATTTAATAATTAAAATCAAAATTTGAGTTATTTAAATGTCCTTTTAAGATATTTTTCTAATAAAAAAAGTTGATTGAAAAATTTGGAATGAATGAATGATACCTGTAAATATACAACATTAACTTTGGTTTTCATTTTATATATGATATTGATAAATTTATACTAATATCAATTGATGATTTATATTGATGATGATTGTTAATTGATACTAATATACAATAAATTTAAATTAATTTAATATGGATAAGTGAAATTTAATAAATAAATTAAATTTTAAAACCTTAAATTCTTTTGACTATCCTCATCAGTGTTTTGCTCACTCTAGGAATGAATTTAAATTGATCAGCAATATGTCATCATGAAAAATACGACAAAAGTGAGAGAGAGCTCCTGGTCGAAAAAAAACGAAGAAAGGAATACGAGGGAATAATGAATGGGGGAATAAGCTCTGACACATCAACAGTCCAATAAGCTCTTCAAAAGCTCCTCCTTCTAGCTTTTGGGAAACGCACGGTTACTTGAGCTTATGAAAGATAAGCTTAATTGGATTTAAGCCTTCCCAAACGGCACTCTATTTCTCAATTGGGCTTCTGCCCAAAATAAGTGGCTTATGGACCAACTTAAGTCCTGCCAAACAGGCACTAAAGTCGGTGAAATTGGGTACTTAGTTGTAATTGTTTCTAAAAATAAAAATGTCGTTCATGGGTCGAGCGAGTTTCTTTGTTTATTTAAAAAAAATAGTTGTCACAGTAAAAGTTCATCAGCGCATGAATGAGTTTTAAAAAGATGTAGTATATAAAAGTTCTCTCTCTTGATTTTCGTGCACTGTGTTTTGCCGCCCACTGTGGTGGAACAACACTAGAGTGTCCCCTCCGCTACCCACTGCGGCGGAGATACAACACATCCCACACCTCCATGTCAAGTGGGGTGTGGGTAGTGAGTGCGTAGTAGTGTGGCGATACTAGAGATGGAGGAGCAAGTTAATGTCACTCTCACTGGCAAAGCTGAAAGAACACCGAACACAGCTGATGCTCGCAACACCAAGAAAGTAAAGCTGAGAGATGAAAGTGAAGATGATATGAAAATGGACATTGAACATAATGAAGGATCCCTAGGAAAAGAGGGAGCCACTAAAGAAATTCAAAGGCAACTTTTCACGAATAGGGTTCATGATGATTTACCGGAAAACCCAGGGCACCCTACGGTGATGGACGAAGACCAACAGCAGGGGGGCGCACATAACCCCCAACCCATGACAGGAGTCTCTTTCAGGGACAAGCTTCTTGGCCCTGATAGAAATGGTAGTGCTGGATATGAAGACGAAGATGTAGACCTTTTGATTGATAGAGACGATGTTAAAATCACAATGGAGGGAGTGATCCCTTCCATATCATTCTCCCAACGTATTAAGGAATACCTAAACCGATGCATGCAATATGCAGTGGTCGTTAAAGCCCTGGGAAGATATATCTGGCAGGACGTGCTTTATACCAAAATATGTAACCTGTGGAAACCAGCTGGACATTTCAAGCTTATGGAGCTTGAAGGAGGTTGCTACATGGTCAAGCTCTCGAATGAGCTTGACTACCAAAATGCTTTGTTGGGGGGACCATGGGTAGTACAAGGGCACTACCTTACCGTGCATCCCTGGGACCCCTCCTTCTCGCCTATTCATCTAGAAATCAAGCAAGTCTTTGGATGGGTTCGCCTCCCTGGCCTTCCATACCATTACTACCACAAGAGTGTGCTGAGAGCCATAAGCAATGTTATTGGGCAAGTCCTAAAAATTGACTATAACACGGAGGGAGTTGAAAAGCAAGGTTCGCACGACTGGCAGTGAAGATTGATCTCACTAAGCCGTTGGTCTCTATGATCAAACTGGACGGTCTTACCCAATTCGTTGAGTATGAGGGTCTTCCCACAATTTGCTACCATTGCGGTCATTATGGGCACTTAGCATATGCTTGTCTGATAGAGGTGCAGCTTCAGAGTGAAGAAGGAGGCCAGGCAAACGCGGTGAAGGATATCCTGGTGAGAACTGATCAGAGTGTTCCTCAGGCAACGGTGAAGGCGCGTGAGCTACGCGAGCATGAAGAGCAGCTTTATGGGGAATGGATGAAGGTACCGTCTAGGGGATGGCGCGGAAGAGGTACGAAGAAGCCCCAAGGAAATGCTAGCCATAATGGTGATAAGAGAGGTAACAGATATGACGTATTAGCCTCCCCAGAAATCACCAAGCAGCATCAAGGAAGTAGCCTCGCAGCAGGAGACCTCACTGTTAGAGCTACCGACTATCCCACTGGCAGTAACCAAGAAGTACAAAAGAAAACAAGAGAGGGCAAGTCGAACGGAACAAAACCGGCTAAGGGCACGAACCCCAAGAAGATGTATCAAAGGAAAATGGAAAAGGAATCCATTTTTGATACACCCACATATCAGGAGTACCGGACTAACACCACCCTTGGTGAAACGGCCCATACAGTTGTCACGGTTGAAAATTTGAGGAAATCACTGAGACAAATTGATAAGGCTACCAGCTCAAGCAATGGGCCTGCATCAACGCAGCCCATATCCAGCTCACGGAACGGAAAGGAAAATAAACTGCCGAAACCCCCTGATAAAAGCCTACTTAAGCTTGGTTTCAAACTGCAGTCAAATGTTAAAATAAAAGGCATCAGGTTAAGGAACAAGGAAGAGGTTGACACACCCTCAGAAGAAATTATGAAGGCACTCACGGAGGCGCTTGGCACCCCCCTCAACTCTGATGAGGAACTCGCCTTCATTGAAGCCGTAGAATCAGGATTGGAGGATGAAACAGCCTCGGAGAGATCCGAGATGGAACATTGAATTCCTTCTTTCAATGAATAACTCAATTTTTGTCTGGAATTGTCAAGGTGCAGCCTCCAACAGTTTTCATAGAGTTCTAAAATCCCTTCTCCGGGGTTATACACCTGACATTGTTGTTTTGGTTGAACCACGAATCTCTGGGGTTAAGGCAGATAGAGTGATCAAGAAGATTGGCTATCCATACTCGCATCATGTTGAAGCAGATGGGTACTCCGGTGGTATCTGGTTAATGTGGAACAGTCGAGTACAGGTTCGTGTTCTTGCAAACCACAAGCAATTTATTCACACAACCATTCAAAACTCGTCTGGGGATTCAAAGGCCCTTTTCACTGCTGTATATGGAAGTCCATGTCCATCCCTACGAAGTGAACTGTGGGAGGAGCTTTCTTCATTAAGGGTTAGTGATAATGAACCGTGGTTGATAGCCGGGGATTTCAATGCCACGCTTTCCATTGCAGATGGAAAGGGGGGGACACGTAGAACCCAATCTGGGTGCAAACACTTCCAGAAATTTGTCCACAATAATGGATTGTTGGATTTGGGCTTCAAAGGGCCCAAATACACATGGCAGCGTGGAAATTTGTTGGTGAGACTTGATAGAGCCCTGGTCAACAATTGTTGGATCTCATCCCAGCCATGTACAGTCACAATGCACCTTCTTAGGATGCAGAGTGATCATCGGCCCTACTTATTAAACCTGAAAAGGAAAAAGGTGACGATCGGGCCCATTTTAAATTCATTGCTGCTTGGGTGACTCACCATGAATTCCCAAGCTTAGTATCTCGCATATGGGCCCAGAATGGCAATCTAGTTGACAAAATACAAGCCTTTGAAACAGAAGTTCAAGTCTGGAATAGAGAGACGTTTGGGCGAATTGGTAGGTGTAAAGGCAAGCTCCAACGCCGACTGTTGGGCATCCAACGTGCTCTAGAGAGAAACCCCTTTTCCTCTTATTATCTTGAGCTTGAAAGAGAGCTGCGAACTGAATATGAAAATATATGTCTGAGAGAGGAAATCATCTGGCTTCAAAAATCGCGATCCCAGTGGATACAAAATGGTGATCGCAACACAAAGGTGACGGTGAGAAGGCACAGAAACCGTATACTTATGCTACAAGCGCCTGAAGGCCATTGGGAGGCAGATCAAAGTAAGCTCTGTGAAATGGCAACAAACTTCTTCCAATCCTTGTACATAGAAGAGCCACGCCCATCCCCATCCTATCAGTATAAAGGTTTGTTTCCTCGAATCCTTGACCATTTGATGAATTATCTTGCTGCCCCTGTCACCAAAGCAGAAACTAAAATTGCTTTATTTGGCATGTCACCTCTAAAATCACCGGGAGCGGACGGACTACATGCCCTTTTCTTCCAATCTTAATGGGAGTTCCCCATCCTATTAGTATAAAGGTTTGTTTCCTCGAATCCCTGACCATTTGATGAATTATCTTGCTGCCCCTGTCACCAAAGCAGAAACTAAAATTGCTTTATTTGGCATGTCACCTCTAAAATCGCCGGGAGCGGACGGACTACATGCCCTTTTCTTCCAATCTTAATGGGAATTTGTCGATGACTCCCTTTTTGAAGAGGTCAGAAAGGTTTTTCTTGGAGGAGACATTGATCCTGCCTTCAACCGAACCCTCATTGCACTGATTCCAAAAACTGAAAGTCCGCAAACTTTAAAGGAATTTCGGCCCATAAGCTTATGTACAACAGTATACAAGGTCATCACCAAAGTCATAGCTAATAGGCTTAAGCTTGTTATGCCATTGCTCTGCCTCCCTTACCAGTCAAGCTTCATCCCTAGATGAACCATAGTGGATAATATCATTATTGCCCAAGAGGCCATCCACTCCATGAGACGGAAGACTAGCAAGATGGGATGGATAGCCATCAAGGTGGATCTAGAAAAGGCGTTCGATAGAGTCAACTGGGAATTCATAAGGGAGACGCTCTTTGAAGCAAGGTTGCCAGTTAACTTAATTAGTATTATTATGAGATGTATAATGTCCTCAACTGTGCAAGTTCTCTGGAACGGGAAGCCAACTCCGTCCTTTATCCCACAACGTGATATTAGGCAAGGTGATCCACTATCCCCCTATATTTTTGTTCTGTGCATGGAACGGTTGTCACAAGCCATTAAATATGAAGTTGAGAGGAAAAACTGGCAACCAATCAGAATGGGTAGAGGAGGCCCCCCTGTCCCACCTTTTCTTTGCTGATGACTTAATACTCTTCAGCACTACAACAGCAGGTCAGGTAGCGCTTATCAACGGAATGCTCGATGATTTTTATAACTCCTTAGGTCAGAAGGTTAGTGAGGCCAAAACCAGAACCTTTTTTTCCAAGAATGTGAGCAGATCGGACAATATAGACATATGCAGCAGATTGGGATACAAAAGGGCCGAAAACCTTGGAAAATATCTTAGAGTTCCTCTCCTCCATAGCCGGGTTACAAAAGAGACTTATGGTTATATTGAAGAACAAATTAAACAAAAGCTCCAAGGCTGGAAAGCAAAAACACTCTCTCTGGCTGGAAGAATGACTCTCGCCTAATCTGTTCTCTCAACTGTACCTACCTATGCAATGCAGTCAACTAGGTTGCCTCGCGCTACCTGTCAACGGATCACGGCAACTATTAGAGACTTCGTCTGGGGAAGCACCGAGCAGCATAAAGGCATACCACTGGTCAAGTAGAGCATGATATGTCAACCCAAAGAAAATGGCGGATGTAGTCTTAAAAATATGATGGGACAAAATTCAGCTTTTCTTCTCAAGCTGGCTTATACAATCACTACACAACCAAATCTATTTTGGGTCCAAGTCATCAGACACAAATATAGATGGACTCCCTCTCATAAATTGAACCTTCAAAGTAAAAATAGTTCCCTCCTATGGAGAAGTTTGACACCACTTTGGGAGGAGTTAAGCTTAGGCATAAGCTGGAAAATTGGGGATGGTAAGAGCATTAGATTCTGGTCTGACACGTGGGTAAGGGACCTAGGCCCGCTGAAACACTTGACCTTTATGCCTCTAGATGAAATCAGCCTAGAAAAACCACTAATTCATTTTGTGGGATGTAATGGGAGTTGGAAATGGGACGAGTTTGCAAGTGTTTTGCCTCAACATGTCCTTGAACAGATTGCCGCCATCCACCCGCTGGCTCATAATTCAAACCCGGATGAGTATGTATGGAGCCTTACTAGTAGCTTACGGTTCACTACCAAGTCTGCCTACAGACTTATCATGGAAGCTGACTGGGATGAGGAAAGTGATCGCTGGAAGCTTGTATGGAAATGGCCCGGACCCCACAGGGTTAGAACCTTCCTATGGCTAGCAATGAGTAACAAGTTGCTAACAAATGAGGTAAGATTCCGACGGCGAATGACCAAACTGGAAGTTTGCAGCATCTGCGGAAGATAGAAGGAGGACTTGAATCATGTTCTACAGAGGTGCAAATTGGCTTATGCTTGTTGGAAGCTTATAGTACCTCCCCAAATTCACTCTCAATTCTCAGGCCAACCCATCAACAAATGGCTCGGCCTGAATCTAGGCGTCTCTCATAGCAACCCCCCTTGGGCAATCACATTTGGTTTAATGTGCTGGAAACTTTGGGAAGCAAGAAACCGTAGTATTTTTGGAAAGGAAAACGCTAACCCTTATCGCTTGGTGAATGAAGTATTAGCTCTAAGCAATCATGTTATACAAGCAAAAGAAGTCCTTCTCAGAATGGGCTTAGGCTGATTTAATTAGGATGCTCTGTTTTTGCTTTCCGTTCCTGCTTCTTGCCCTATTGTAAATATCTGTTCTTTAATAAATTTCTCCTTTCATTCAAAAAAAAAGATGTAGTATATGGGTAAATCGTTCCCATGATATAGCATTTGGGTAATTATTTTTTAAGTTTATAGTATTTTGACAAAATTACCCTGAAATTTGTTGCTTATGACTTTTCAACTGTGGAGAGAACCAAATTAGAATTGGTGAGAAGCGTTGAAAAGTAGAAGGAGAAGAAGTTAAAAAAGAAGTGGATCCCAACTTTAAGGAATTCACTACATTCTTTCGTTCTTATTATAAATTTCAAATAAATAATTTGTGATTAATAAAAATTAGTTAAAATTAATTAAAATTAATAATTAAGTTATAAATATCCTTTTGGTTTCACAAATGCCCTAATAGTAAATTAGAAAAAAGATTAAAAAATCTTAAAAAAACTATCAAAATAGAAAAATTACAAATAAAGACCCATGACAACATTGGTATGTTAACAACAATAGTATAGGTTTTGATAATAGTTTTTATAAATGAATCCCTGTGTGTAATTTTTCTATTTCAGCGGTCTTTTTTTTTTTTTTGCGATTTTTCCAAAGGATAAAAGAAAATATATGAGGAAATATAATCAGAGAATATCACATATGAGAGAGAATAAATTATATATATTATTTAATAAAATTCATGTCTTTTCTAATCATTTTACTGCTAAATTTTCTTTTTTAATAATAATCTAAACAATTCCACTTTTGTAAACTGACTTATTTACAAAAGTAAATACAAATATAAATCACATTAACCAATCAAACTTTTAAACAATTTAACTTTTTTAAAAATCAAATTGAAAATAAGTTATCTTTTGTATTGCCAATTCAAACCGGCCTTTAAGTGCATGTTTTAAAGACAAAGGAAAGATTTAAGTAATTAAGACAAAATTCAAATGGCAGTAGAACATTTTACTCCGACAAAACATGTTCTTTTCCCGCTCCCTGTCAACTTAAAAGCCACACATGCAACTGGATTGAGGTTTTTTTCCTGATTTTTGTGATAGTGTTTTTATAGGTACAATTTTTTTTTGTGATTTTTTTTTTGGTGATAGTGTTGAAGAGAGAATGAATGTCTTGTCTCTTTTCCCAATAAACGTATAACTTACGGGGAAGAAAATTCTCGCGTCGAATTCTCTAGCTTGCTTTGTTTTGTTCTTTTCCTGTGGCGTGGAATCTTTTGGACAAATTAACTAACTAGAAAAAAATACTTTATTTCTGATAGAATTAGCAACAAAAATTTATTTCGTTACTAATTTCTGACAAATTACTAGCGAAAATTTAGCGACGGATTAGCAACAAAAAATTTTTGTCGCTAATATTAGTGACAGATTAGCAATGAAATTTCTATTCGTCGCTCATCCGTTAGTAAATATTTAGTGATGGAATTAGCAACAAAATTTTTTTATCAGAAATTTATGTCGCTAATTTTAATTATAAAATTTTTAGTGACGGAATTAGTTTGTCAGAGAAGTTTCCGTCACTAATTTCATCAGTAATTCTATTCTATCGTAATTTCATCGCTAATCCATCACTAATTTTAAATTTCATTATTTTATATTATAATCTTACAATAATTTATATAATAATATAATGAAGAATATAATAATTTAAATATATTTTTAATTGTAAAATAAATTGATATATTTGTAGAGTTGGAGTTAATGAAGGTATCATCATCATTTATGTCGTCATTAGATACATACTGAGAATAGGAAGACAATTTCTTAAAAAACTTGTTTAATATTTCATTAAAATCAATTCCTCTTGATTATTAAAATAATTAAAAATAAAACAAGAATACTGATAACTTTCTTATACGAAGTGATATAAGAAAGAAATAATTTTATCAAATGTACAATATATTAAAACATGTAATATATATGATAGAAATTCAAAACCGAAAAATAAATTTATATGAACACTTCAATTTATGATTATAAATTAAACCAATATTGAAGTGAATTTTGAATTTCAATCATTAAACAATGAAATTTAATCATGATATAATTAATATCTATGATATAAATTGATTTTGGTCTTCATTGCCAATACAAATGGTATATACAGAAGATTTTAAGAAAATAACTCGACCTATAATAATTAATGGGTTTCGAGCATACCTGAAGTGTCGAGTAATCTCAGATTCAAATAGCCACGCGCGGAATTCCAATCACGGTAATGGAGTGGGAATCAACGTTCACAGCAAATGCACTTTATGTTTGTTAGGAAGAGAAGAGAGACGCAGGCGGGAGGAAAAACAAGCCGGTTAGAAAAATCAGTTTTTCAAACTGATTTTATCTCTTGAAAATAAAACTTCCGCCCCCTTTGTCCTTATCCATATTTTGGAAGAAAAGAATTGCAAATAACCATTTAAGACCCACAGGTTGTGTTATTTGCATTAGAGCCCCAAATTTAATGGGCTTGGGCCCAATCCACCAAGGGTGGACTGGCCCATTTTCCTACATCTCCCACTCACACTTGGTGGATTAGGTGTCAAGGGTCTCGTCTCTTCGCCTCCCCTTAGTTTCATACTTAGTGCTTTGCCGTGACCGCGTGGGCATGACGTCTTCATTTAGGTGCCTGTACTAGAAATCCTTTTATAGGACCAGCACAAGTTACCTTCTCCTTTTGTGTAGCGTGAATTTTAAAATTATGCCTCAGATGTCCTAGATTTACTTATATACACTTTTTCATGGTAAATCTAATACCTCTCGAGTCAAAAGTTGACTCAGATTACCTTTCTCTTATGTCTAGTATCCACACTTACGACCACAAAATGTCATAAGGGATATGTCACAGACACTAGCATAGGTGTGTATATCACAGTCAATCTTCCTTTCGCCCAAACATCACTTTGAAATGGATCAATCGCTTTCTTAACATACTACCTTAGATCGCATCAATCATGACCATAGGACATATGCCAAAGTAGCAGTCACTGAAACATATCTTCATGATATTGTCAAAGTCAAAGGACACCAATAGGAGGATAATTC